CCCCAAAACCCCAAAACCCCAGACGAGTGACATTTCCTTTAAAAATTCATTGAGAGGTTTCTATTAATTAAATTAATATATGAGATAGTTATTAATAATAATAGTAATAATGAATAGTTCAATTTAGTATGATCAAATTAACCTACGCTCATTATAAAGATTCCTACTTGCTCCCATTCTATTCATTTTACTCCTGTAAAATATGTTGTTTAATTATATCAGGTTTGCCAATACAAGTAATAGTAAAGATCAATAATATAATTAAGACTCAGTGACCTCGATTAATTTCAATAAAGCATATAATAACTCATAAATTAGTAATGAGATCTTAATAAGATAATTACCATAGAATCAAAATGATTGCAGTATAACTTGCTAGAAAAATACAGTAATAATACTCTCTAAAATAAGCTCTGCAACAGAATATATTCAAACATTTGAGCCTTGTAGTTTTGGAAAAGGCTCCTCATCAATTAATCAAGATTGTCCTTTTAATATCACAATAGAGATATATACAAAGGAAAAATAGGCTAATAATAGGAAAAATGACTACAATGATGTTTCAGATAGATCAAACTAACTTTCAATAGTAAGTAACCCTGAGCTTAGTATTAACCTTATAAGTGGTCTAAAATTTCAGCTTCAAATACCAGATATCACTGAGATCACTTCATTTTATTACATCGGAGTGAATGTGTAAATGACAGATTTAGGGAAAAAATGAGATAGTTTCAACCTTACTATTCATCCACAAAATTGTAATGGGAATATACAAATTTAGAAAAATACAGCAACACCTTAACTATAAATCTATGATATAACACAAGGATTGCAAATTATTTACATCACCACTAATTTTGAATCTTCAAAGACTTGTGACTTACTTATTGTTGAGGCAAAAGTTAGTCCAAATCCACAATCATCATTTATTCAGAATAAAGCTAAAACATAATAATTTAATGTTTCTACAAATGATACCAATTTAGTTGGTAATACTTACGAAATAAAATTCTATGCAACATCCAAATAAGATTCTTGAATAACTTCAATATCTGATGCATTTTAACTGACTTTTTGTGAGTGTTGTTTAAGCTAAGTGATTTCTCCTCATAATCAATGGATTTATGTGTCATCTTAAAATTACTCAGCAAGTATCTAATTATCATAGTGGTAGATAAGTCCAGTTGAATGCCAAAATAGAATTAAGACTCTAATATTCAATAATGGAACATAAATTCCTGATTCCTTATTAATTTATGATTCTATAACTTCAAGTTTACAACTAAAAACCTTTATTACACAAAGCTCCTTATTGTCATTAAAACTTCAATACCAAGGAAAGACTCAATACATTATGATATAATTTAATTAAGATAATCCTAATTGTGATCTAACTGAATGTGGAGTGAAGTTTCTTACAAATAGCTAGAAGCAAGTTATAGTTCAAATAGGGCAATAGAACAAATTTATTTCTGAACTATTTTACTATTGTCCTAGTTTTATCATTGAACATTGTGGTGCAATTAAAACCGAAATGAGTTAACTAACCAATGATGTAGTATTTAACAATAATTGTATGAATCCCTTGATTTCTGTAGGAAATTCAGCTATTGCTTCAAGTTAAACAGCCATATATAAGATCTAATTTGTTGGAAATGATAGTTCTGTAAAAGTGCTTAATCTTGAAATTTAAGTCAGATGTCCAACATTCTCGAGGCCTATTTGGAGTGATGTAGAGTTAAACTATACTATAGGATAGCCTGAACTATCAACAGCTTTACCTTACTTAGAAATGATATCCTCTTGTTTTGAGTATAAGATTCTCCCTAAAATAGGAGAGTCCAGTGTAAGTTTCATAAATTTCTAAAGTAATTAAACTGGAGGTTACACAATCAAAATTCTTACTACTGACAACAACAATAGAGGAGCTTTTTCATATGTAGCTACTTACACTTATTAAGATCCTACCTACCCAGATCAATGGTCCTATAGTATAGTGATTAATATTTTGGAGTCCCCAATAGTGCCTTCATAAGATTTAAATAAAAATTAATCAAATCATAGTGATTAAAACGCTAATGGAACGTAAAGTTAAAATAACGAAGCAATCTAGGATAAAGGATCTTCTGGTAATAATTTACCTCCACCTACTCCTAACTAGGAAGAAGATAAAGTTCAATATTTAGTAAATTCTTGCGCACCATTATTACTAACTGAAATTCACAATTTTTAGCTTTATCACGATGAAGAAATTACTTTCATTATTCCTGAGGCTGAAGATTGCGATAATGATATTATAAATTACTTATTCGATTTCACTTCTGCCAAATCTTTTTCAATGGTTTTTCAAGGTTAAATCAGAATCATTCCTAATTTTAATGCAATAGGAATACATGATATTTCATTGACTCTTTAAGACTAGGTAAAAGTGGTATAAAAAGGGAAGTAAACTGAGAATAAACCAGTAATAATAAGGAATTCTCGCAAGAAGACTATATACAACTTTAAAATCATTGTCATAGAAAGAGTAAAACATATTAAAACCAGCGAAGACATTCAAAACAGTAATAAAAATATAAGTGATATTCTTAATCCCTTTTAGCAATCATAGCATCAACTCTTAAATTGGTATAATTAAGAGAATATTGCCATTAAGATACAAAGTATCACCCTCTCAGGAATAATGATTGTCTAATTTAATACTCATATAGAAGTAAAAGATAAAGATCGCTTGAAATAATTAATAACTCTTCATATTTATGCTAATCAATAGCAGAAAAAGGAAAACCTTTATTTTGATTGGAGTGTTGTTAATATCTAGAACCACTAAATGGACATAAAATTAGATTTTGAAAATCCACTTTTAATATCTCAATTTATGGTATACTTTCTGATTTAATTAACCATTATATAGATTCCTGATATAATGATACTTCATGCATCACCAAATATATTTAATTGCGAAGGTTCTTAGACCCTTGATACTATAAGGACTTTAGTGTCGACTACAAAATTACCAAAATAGCTAATGAATGAAAAGGATGACTCTCTAATCTAAATTTCAACTAAAGTGATAGAATTTACTATTTCTGCTGTAATAGTTTCAAATCTATTTCTCTAGCTATTTATGTAAGCTTATTTAACTTTAATTCTTAATTAATTCATAGCTCTTCGACGATTTAAATCATTTGGTCTCTAGTCAATAATATACAGTTGATAGTTTACCTGCCATTTCTATAAGTTAACTTTCCTGGAAACGCGTAGCAATTTTTAAATTTACTTCTAGAACTTTCTCAAATCAAACTAATTCCAAATTTACATAAATTGGACAATTACTTAACCTTTGATCAAGAAATAAATTATTAGATATTAGACGACAACAAAGATTGTCAAGATTTAGGATTTGAAAATTGCTATTTTACATCAAGCCTTAAAGAAATGCTAGTTATGTTTTGTGCTGCAACAATAATTTTATTTCTTTATGAAATGGGGAAAAAATCTGTGAAATACATAAAAATATAAAGGCCTAAATTCATTTAGAAGTTTAAGATACTAAGACTTTTGGAATACATCTTTATTGGATTTATGAAAAGATTAAAATTTAGCGTTTACATTAGACTATTCATAGAAAATTACTTTTAAATGTGCCTACTTTCTTTGGTTGTTTTTAAAGAGTTCATATCATTTACCAACTGGAAATTGAGTTTTAATAGTATTCTATGCTACATGATCCTTACATTCTGTTCTATTTGGCCTTTTCTTGTTATATATTTCTTGTTTAGAAACAGAGATGAAAGATAAGATAAGGGGTTCACAGAGAAATATGGTTCATTTTTTGAAGGAACTCAATACTGGAAAACTCACACACTGTTTGTTGTATTTCATTTCTTATTAAGAAGAATGATTTTTGCATTATCATTGATTTACTTGGACATGGAAGTTTAATTAGCCTTATAAATGATTATATCTCTTGGTCTTTTAACATATTACATTTCCTATTAACCAATGAGGAAAAGCTTCTAAAATAGATTAGAAGTTTATAATGAACTAACTTTTCTGATATGCTTATGTTAGTGTTTCCTCTTTACTGAGTATGTGGATGATGTGAAGTTAAGGTATTAAATTGGAGTACTCTTCATAGTTATTGTTGTATTAAACATTGTTACTAATTTCTCCATCTATGTGATAGTTCTCATAAGATATTGCTACAAAAAGATTAAGAAGGCATTGAAAAAAATAAAATAGCCGAATAGTGTTGTATAAACAAGTGAAATAATCAAAGAGGATCCTAACTTTAGTTAGTCCTATGATGATAATAGTGATAGAATATTGCACTCATACAGTGATGACTCAAGAGTTGATTCCTAGTGTGACTCTGCCATCTCAGAATTTGAGAGAGTATAGACCGAATAAATACTTAGGAATAAGTTTAAAGCTACAGCAGCGTTTAAGACAAACACTCCATCCGAGATCAGTGCCTTTAGTCGTAGATAAACTGCAGTATCGAATATGTCATAACTCAAAATAAGACCAGGAAATGCTGTAATTGGTGAATAATTCGTAACTCAAAGAGGTAATAGTGTGATGTACGAAGACAACTCCTTCATAGTAACACTTGGGTTTATTAATGGTCACAAATCCTAAGGTGACTGGAAAAATATTTAAGAGTGATAAGTTATAAATACAAGGTAAGATTGTATCGATCTAAATTTTATTTATTTGCAAAATTTATATCATCTTTTTTAGCAAATCAACTAACTCTTGGGGTTTTGGGGTTTTGGGGTTTTGGGGTTTTGGGG